TCTGTGTTCTTTCAGTTTCTCTGCTGCCTTTTGCTCCAGGTCTATTCCCAGGTATTTTTCCTCCAGGTCATACTGAGGCCAATGGACCAAGCCCTCCCCGTTGGGATTTCTGGAAATAACAGAAGGAAAAGTTAGCTCTCCATTTGCCAATCCATTGCTGTCTGACTGCTCAGGTTCAGAGCATTTCAGAAAACCAGCAGCTGAGCCCAGCTGATGTGATTCTGGTACCTGAATAAATGAACAGTATTTTATGAAAGTGCTCATCAGTAGAACAGTAGAAGTGTAAAAGTTGCCATTACTTTTAGATCTAAAACTCCATTGCTGATGGAGTAACTGCTGTTAGATTTTTTTCTTCCTCATGTCTGCAGGTACTTTTAAAGGACCTTTAAGACGAGAAATTGCTTCAATATTTCTCCTATATTCTGTCAAATTTCAGGAAGCACCATTTAAGTACTGCTTCAGGCTGGTAAGTATGTTCTGGGCAGCACAGACTGAACTTGAGCTGTAATTAGCACTGTGATTCTCACCCATTTTTAGCAAAGTTGGTCCAGTATCTTATCAGAGTTCTGCTAAGTTCATTTTCTTCTTTTGTAGCACCTCCTGCGAAGGGAGAGATGGAAGGGCCACATTAGAATATAACTAATGAGTATCTGTATCATTGCAACACTTCTCCTGGTTGCCATGAGCTGTTGGAGGTTTTTCTAGCAGAGACCTGCAGATGAATGATGTAATGCAAAGTATCTGCTACTGAAGACAGAAGATGTTTATGCCCCTAATGATGCTTATAACATATATATGGTATGCTAATACTAAGTATAATGTCTATAATGCTCATAAAGAGAGAAATTCTATTCACAAGCCCTGCAGTAATTGAAATGAGAAGTAATGAGTGTCTAAAAGGAAGATGGAGGAAATATGGGTACATCACCAGCTAAGAATGGCTTTCCAAAGACAAAGGCAATCTCAGCTCCATGATCTGCTTTTACAAACTCTGGTACCAAACCTTCCACGGAACTCGGCCGATGTTGGAATTCATAAAAGAAGACTGGGTTGCCAGCATCTAGAGGAGACAGAAAAGTGCTGGTTTGAGAGCTG